CAATTCATAACTGTTATACCAACTGTCTGTGGTAACGTTTCCTCCAGAATTGTATAATGAAGCTAGGATGTGCTTTGCTTTTTCACAAGAACTGTTGATTTTCTTGTGTGGCCCATCTGGCTGTTGACCTGAGTAAATTTCCATGTTGAAAGTATAGAAGATTCTAAATATCTTTATACCATATCTTGCAGGTTTCTTAGACATATACTGCCGGAAGGAGCATCGTCCTCGAAAAGGTTCTAGCTTTTCATCCAAAAGTCACATATTCCCCTACATGATATAATTTCTTCTTCACTTTTTATTAAAAAAGATATAAATTAACTGCTTTTGCTGTGTTTTTTCCTTACATTTTGAAAAAAAGATTGAAATCGGAGATTTGCAGACAGTAAACAGTGAATTATTTTCAACAAAATTATGGGATCAAAAAGCATATTAAAGGGCTGGATATGTTTAGATATGTTGAGCTGAATAGGGCTGATGAAGCAATAATGCTATATTGGAATAATTAACTACTGAAAGTTTTGTACTCATAGCTTTCTAAACAGAGCATTTGGTAAAATCAAAGGACCTAACAAAACAGTAGAAATCAACGAAAGCCCTTTTTATGGAGAGCAAAAGGAAAGCAAGTTGAATACTTATTATTTATTAAATTAAGAGGCTTTAGTTCCTTTAGAATTCTGCCAGAATGTTTAACACAACTTTGGCAGTATTTTTGCTAACTTTCACGGTAAATGAGGATTGGATTGGATTATTCGATTACGGCAAAGCACACGAGGGCTATCTGCCTAACACGGTAAGTGAGATAATATGTAAGTACCGATTTTATTAAAAATTGTATTTTATTGCGAGTTGAGTATCATAAAATTTAATTGGTTTTTAGTTAATGAAAGTATAATCTACCAACCTTATATGTTGTTGAACTGGCAATCAACTGGACCAGGTGGCATCAAGGCAGAGCTTTTAAATGTCAATGAAACGAATTCAAATAAAGCAATCCATTATCAGATTTGTTGTGTATGGGCACAGGAACAAATGCCTACTGAGTGGGAAGAAAGATCTTTTTTGTCCTATTTATAAAAAAGGAGACAAGCTAGACTGCTGTAATTACAGAGGAATACCTTACTGAATTCAGTATATACAGTCAAACGTTAATCCAGACTCGTCGGGACTTCGGCGATTCCGGATTATCGATTTTTCCAGATTATAGAACATCAATTTAAATCTGGTAAGATGGCGTGCAGAAATTATAAAATTAAAAATATAAAACCGTAATTTATGAAATAAAGAACAATTATGATCTAAAGGGTATCAAAATTTACAAAAAAAAAAAAAAGCTTAATATTTATTTGTTTACTTTATTAAACATTTCTTTCAATGTAAGTTGTTTAAGTTGCTTCATTTTTTATGTGATAATACATTCTCTTTAATTCTATAAACAGATATAATTTCTTGTTCAGTTACAAAGTTCCGCTGTTCAAGTCCTATAATTGCTGTGTCTACCGATTAATTTGTCAATCGAAATTTTTTCGTTTTCAATAACCTCTGTCACTTTCTTCGCTATCGGAAATGAATTATAATGACGAGGAATTTGATTTAAATCATATCAAAGACGGAGTACATCGAGATGAAATACTACATTTAGTAAGGAATTATAAGCTGAATAAAATAAAAACATCTACCCTGAAAATAAGGATAGTGCTGACAAATCAACTTCCAATTCATTGCGCGGCGTTAAAGATAAACAAAGGATATGCCTTTATCCATTTTTTGCAGCAATTCTACTTTTTGTTTAATGAACTTTGAACATACTTTCGCTTTGTAGATCCTTTACATATTAGTAAATATATATCAGAAATTCTATTTGACATAATCGAAAGTTCAAGCTTACTTTTATAAAATTGCTCTAACAGTCTGCAAAAAATAATAAGCCGGATCCAATTCGAAGATTAAGGAACAACACAATCTGCAACATTAACTGAAATAGATAATTAGTTAATTTTAGCTTAGCTTATACCGTCCGTTATACATTAAAAGCACACTCGTAAACGTATTTTGCGCACGCGTGCAAGCATATTCGCAGCCGTAAAGATCTTATGCGCATGCATCAACGCGACGCATGCGCATAAAGTTTGTAGCTTTGAGGTCCGGATTATAGGTGTCCGAATTAACGACTTTTGACTGTAAAATATTTTTCATTATCTTGTAGAAATGATTGCTTATGTATACTTCTAATGTTATTGGGAATTACCAGTGTGGATTGCAGATTGGAAAAACAACATCTGATCAATTGCATTCTATCAGACAAATCTTGGAAAGAACAAAGAATATAACATTGCCACCTACCACCTGGCATCTCGTATCGAATGGTTTGGCCATGTGTTTAGATATGATGATACATTTCTAACCAAAAAGATAACCTTTTTCAGAACTGAGGGAGTAAGACAAAAAGGAAGACCTCCCACTAGATGGAAAAATGATGTTGAAGATTTAAGGCTAATTGGATTTAACTGATAGAGGGCTATTGTGCTAAATGGAGTCAGGTGGAGGAAACTTGGAGAGAGAGCTTTGATCTGTAACAGACTGTGGAGGTTATGAAAAAGAAATTAATGAAAATTAAGCATTAATAATGTATTTAAAATAAATACTTTGAAACGAATACCATAATTTAATTTTCTTTTGTGAAGTTTCTATAGCATCAGTAAATCTAAATTCATTTTTATCTGCATGTACTTCCCCATGATATTTAGGTATTGATAAACAATGCTCATTATTTTTTGGCATTAGAGCTGAATGGTAACTGCCATTTGTTCCAGGATCAGTAAAAAGTTAAGCAATAATTTATGTAAAAGTCTTAAATACTAAAATTAAGAAGTTTTTATTTGTATTTTAATATAGCTTTTTATTACAACTGTTTTGGACTTCCAAGTAAAGTACCACTTCTGTTCATCCAATTTTACCCAAATCTAATGAATACAGAAATCTTAAATTATGGGTAATAGAAATTTTTAGAAGTTTGATAAGAGTGATCTTCAAAAAATCTTCTTTCTTTGATGAAGTGATTTTCAATCTTTCTTGGACACACACACACACACACACACACACACACACACAAAAAAAAAAAAAAAAAAAAAAAAAAAAAAAACTAAAACAAAACTCACACAGGCATACATTGAAATATGTTTAACATGAAAACGCTTAAGATGAAATATCAGTTAACACGAAATAATACAACAGTCCCGACTCACTACTATGTATTTTCATGCATTTTTTTCCCCTTTTAATGCGAAATAAAAATCGCTGAACACAAAAAGATTTCCCTTCTGGAAGTGAACAAAATATGGTCAACACCAGCTGCGCAGGCGAGATTTAAGAGGGCTGTGGGATGAAAGATAGGTAGTTTCACATGTTTTGTAGAAAGCAGGATAACTTGACTTTGAAATACATTCGGAATAGCCTGTGACAGAAACCAATTTTGTTTACCTAAGCTACTTTCACCCTCCACCCCTACAATTGGCACACAAAAACAAACATCTTGTCTCTCATCAGTTGGCTTTGGAATTTGGTGACGAGTACATAGCAGTGTCTGTAAAAAATCAGTGAATCTAGTTCGTGTTAAAAGAAATGGCGAAGGAGGCTATTGAATCAAATGTTTGAGAAAGTTTCTGTGTTATTGTACTTTCCTACTGTATTATATTATCAAAAGAATTCGTTGCAATAGAGGATGATAATGTGTGTGCAGCCCCAATTATGGCAGACAAAGACATTTTGGAGTTCATTGAAAGCTAAAAAAAATATCATTGAAACAGATTCCTATGATGAAAATAAAATGAATATTGCGGCTTCCACTTCATCCGAAATGAGGAACATCATGATGTATGTGCACATTCCGATGGTGAAATGAATAACAAAATGGACAACATCAAACAATTTGATGCTAAAAAAGATAATCCAAAGAAAAATATTAGATTATTTTCCAAAAACTCAATAAATTTTTTGTTTTTCAAAAAATTTTAAAATTTTATATTAAGTTCTTTTAAATGATTTTTCACTGATTTTTTTATTAAATATATGCATATATACATATCTATGTAAATAAAATGCAATCTAATAAACTTTTTTTTTGGGGGGGAGGTAATGTTTTTTAACACGAAATTCTTTTAACCCAAAAATATATTTCTGTCCCGTCAGATTTGTGTTAAACAATTTTCACTGTATTTATAAAACTAGCAAAACATTTTCAGACTCTTAATTCATGCTAATTCACAGAAAACTCATTCTCAAATTTTTGAACCAATAATAATAAATTCCTTTACCTATATATACAAGTTGGTGGGAGATAAAAATCATCTGCCCCAGAGGTCAATAATATTTTTTCTGTGTTATTTTTTCATTAGTGCTGTTAAAAAAAATGTTAAGGTATTCTTTGAGATTATCCTTTTTAATTCAATTCTGTCACACTGGGTAGTGAAGAAATTGATCTGTGACAAAATTGTGCTAGATTTAATATGAAAAAGCTTAATCTTGGTCCCCAGTGCTGCTTATTGGTTTTTATTTTATAACATGAATGCATGAAATTTTTTTCAGTGGTGATTGTTTTTTTAACAAAAAATATGGGGGATGATTGGCTACAACATTGTACAATTTTTACATATCTTTGTATGGAGATATAGGGCTTTACATGGAAAAATCTCTCATGTTTGGTTCGTAAACTGAATTCTGTCACTTAAATGTTTAGTGTGCTGAATATAAATTTAATTTCTTTTTAACATCAGAATGGTAATATTATTGTAGAATTAGTATGCAAACCTTAAATCTTATTGTGATTACATTTACTAAATTTGACTTGGTCAATTTTTGCATTCAAAATATATTTCTGATGTACTGCATACATGTAAATATTTAGAATAATTATAATGCCTAAAATTTAGTTTTGCTACTAATATATTCTGTATTCCATGATATTTTTATGTACTATCTATAAATTTTATTGCTATTTTCAGCCCAAGTAATGAAGTATTTCGATCAAAGAGGGGTTTACAGAAGTATTTAGAGGAATCTAAGTCAGATCTCAGAATTACTGATTTTGACTTTAGTTGGAACAATGGAATATCATGTTCACTTAAAGAGATAAATTCATCAAAACCAGGAAATGGAAAGGATAACTTAAAGGAGTAAGTTGTTTATTTCATGTTATGTTATTAAATTATATAGTTTGTAACTGGCAATTAGTAAAATTTGAATGTATTCATTTCAGTCCAAATGCTGAGAATTCTAAAGAATTTCTGCAAATGTGTGAAGAGAAAACTGCTTTAGAATTTGATAATACTGATTTTATTTGCAAGCACAAGGAACTGAAAGAGCTACAGGAAAACTTTTCAGAAATAGACACTAGAAATACAAATTTTGAAGAGTAAGTTATAGCTTTGAAATGTACATATTTATGCTTTCATGCTCATACAAATTAAGTTAAATAAAATTTATTTCCCATTTGCTCTAATGTTTTACAGTAGGAAACTGAATTATCAAAGTAACAGTTTTTTAATTTTATTAAGTACTGAAACACATTTTTTTATAGTGTTCGGGAGAAATCATGGGAAGCAGAAACTGATTGATAAACTGTTAAAAGAAATCTAGTAAACAATTGCTTAGCACTGAAGTGTAAATAAATAAGTAATTATATATATACAAAAAAATTTTAGGATTTAGGAGTTGGCACTGTTGCATTTTTATTTTAAAAGTTTCAAGTAAGGATTCTTTCAGTTTATTGTCAATCTGTGCCAGGAAAAAGATTCATGAGGCACCATATTCTGTCATCAAAATAGGCAACCCAAGTATACTCATGTGATAGATAAGCACCTGTCTCTATCTTCAAATTAAACAGTCATTTATTGTAACAGTGTTTGATTTGGCAATGACTTTTTTCTTATATAGAATTGTAATGGTATGAAGCTTGTCGGCTTGATGAAAAGGAAAACATTGTCTTCAAAAATATGTTGTTTTTCCCGACAGAAGGGAATTTAAAAGTTCGCATCAGGAAGTTGTACTGAAACAAAGCCGAATGTGAGCAATTCCCTATTTTTTAAGCAAACACAGATCACTGTGTATATGGGAAGAGCAGCACCATGCATAGTGCCCAGTTTGTGTAATACTCTGATTTTTTTAAAGCAAAAACTGATTGCTGTGTACATGGTGAGAACAAAAGTGAAAAAAAATATATACAGTCAAAAGTCGTTAATCCGGACTCGTCGGGACTTCGGCAATTCCGGATTATCGATTTTTCCGGATTATAGATCATCAGTTTAAATCTCGTAAGATGGCATGCAGAAATTCTAAAATTAAAAATATGAAACCGTAATTTATGAAATAAAGAAACAATTATGATCTAAAGGGTATCAAAATTTACAAAAAAAAAAAAAAAAGGTTAGTATTTATTTGTTTACTTTATTAAACATTTCTTTCAATGTAAGTAGTTTTAAGTTGCTGCTTCGTTTTATGTGATAATACTTTCTCTTTAAGTCTATAAACAGGACATAATTTCTTGTTCAGTTACAAAAGTTCCGCTGTTCAAGTCCCGTTAATTGTTGTGTGCCGAGAATACTGACTAACTTGTCAATCGAAATTTTTTTGTTTTCACTAACCTCTCTGTCACATTCTTCATGTCTTTATCCATTTTTTGCATCAATTCCACTTTTGTTTGTTGGACATCGAAACATACTTTCGTTTTGTAGATCCTTTGGAAGTTCCAGCATCGGAAATTCTATTTAACATAATCAAAATTTCAAGTTTACTTTTATAAAATTGCTCTTACAGTCTGCAAAAAATAATAAGCGGGATCCAATTCGAAGATTAAGGAACAACATAATCATTAACATTAACTGAAATAGATAAGTAGATAATTTTAGCTTACACCGTCCGTTATACATTAAATGCGCAGGCGAAAATGTATTCTGCACTTGCGCACACGCATATGCGCAGTAGTCAATGTCTTACGCGCACGCATAAAACGCCTGTGCGCATGTGCCAACGTAGCACATGCGCAGAGAGTTTTTAGCTTTGAGGTCCGGATTATGGGTGTCCGAATTAATGACTTTTGACTGTATAAAGATTTCTTGAAAAAATGTTTTATTATGAATCTTCCTTTTATTGATTTACTGCAGTTTTTATGGAATTCATAATGTGCTGCCATTTTCAAAATGTGTGTATTAGCTTGGTGAAAAATTGATTGTCTCTTTGTTGGCATTTTTTCAAAGGAGGCTGTGTATAATCAGAAAATATCGAAGTGAGTGTCCATTCTCATTCTGAGTAATTTAAATTTACTCCCATAGAATGACCTGCTACCCACTAAAAATACTTCTTAAAAGGATTATGTTTGTCTAACAATTCTGAAATCTGTTTATCAATTTCACGCTGCTCTGCAGCGGAGGAGAGGGGGAAACGCCGCGGCACGCAATGAATTGGAAGTTGATCTGTCAGCACTATCCTTATCTTCAGGGCAGATGTTTTTATTTTATTTGGCTTATAATTCCTTACTAAATGTAGTATTTCATCTCAATGTACTCCTTCTTTGATATGATTTAAATCAAATTCCTCGTCATTATAATTCGCTTCGGATAGTGAAGAAAGTGACACAGAGGTTATTGAAAACGAAAAATTTCGATTGACAAATTTGTCGGTATTCTCGACACAGCAATTATAGGACTTGAACAGCGAAACTTTGTAACTGAACAAGAAATTATGTCTGTTTATAGAATTAAAGAGAAAGTATTATCACATAAAACGAAGCAACTTAAACAACTTACATTTAAAGAAATGTTTAATAAAGTAAACAAATAAATATTAAGCTTTTTTTTGTAAATTTTGATACCCTTTAGATCATAATTGTTTAGCCTAATTTCCAATTGCTAGCAGGATTTATTTCCAATTACACCACGAAGGCGTCTCGGCAATAAAGGAAAAATTCCTTATTCCTTACATTCTCTCCCACTTCTTCAAGGGCGACTAGGAAGGTGGAGACACATTTGCTAAATCCTGATATTGACAAATTACAGTCTACCACATTTTAGTTCGGGAGCCCAGCCAACAGGCAAAAAAATATGTGTCGTCCTCGAGTTCCGAGTTTCGAACTCCGGCCCTCTGATTGCTAGTGGGGTGTGCTTTTTTCCGATTATACCACCATAAGGACCGCCTTAAAGAGAAAGAAATACCTTACAACTCTTCCTATTAATAATGATTAATTTTTTCTAGACTTGTTTTTCAGTAAATTAAATTAATAGAGTCATGTTCCATAGTTTTATGATACAGTCAAAAGACTTTAATCCAGAATGATCTATAATCCGGACCTCAAAGCTACGAACTTTCGGCGCATGTGTAAACGCAATTGCGCAAAGCTATTATGCGCATATACGTTTACGCATGCGCGTTTAATGTATAACGGATGGTATAAGCTAAGCTCTAGTTATCTATTTCAGTTAATATTGCAGATTGCGTTGTTCCTTAATCTTCTAATTGGATCCGGCTTATTATTTTTTGCAGACTATTAAAGCAATTTTATAAAACTAAGCTTGAACTTTCGATTATGTCAAAAAGAATTTCCGATTCTGGAGCTGCCAAAGGATCTACAAAACGAAAGCATGTTTCGATGTCCATCAAACAAAAAGTGGAATTGCTGCAGAAAATGGATAAAGGCATATCCTTTGTTTCTCTAACCATTCTGAATCTGTTTATCAATTTCTGAATCTGTTTATCTGTCTTTGATATGATTTAAATCAAATTCCTCGTCATTATAAATATCACGAATACACATCAAATAGTTTTCTGGTTGCAATTTTCTAATTTCGTCTATGCGTAATGTATGCTTTAGGCATGTGCGTGTTGAAAGAAATGTTTAATAAAGTAAACAAATAAAAATTAAACTTTTTTTTTTGTAAATTTTGATACCCTTTAGATCATAATTGCTCTTTATTTCATAAATTACGGTTTCATATTTTTAATTTTATAATTTCTGCATGCCATCTTACCAGATTTAAACTGATGATCTATAATCCGGAATGGCCGAAGTCCCGATGAGTCCGAATTAACGACTTTTGACTATACTATTTATTTTATTTTCTAAAATTTTCTTCCTGTTTATTTCTGTTTGCATACTGTCATCTAAAAATGCCTGAAAAGACTGATGGTTGTGCCAACTGCCAGATGTTATACTATTAGCTTCTACTATTAATTCATTTTGGTGATTTTACTAATTCTTATTTCCTCCTAAATGAGAATCAGGATAATGATTTTGAGCCATTGATCTGCATTTTAATTTATAAAATTTTGGCTTTATTTAGAATCTGAGTCTTATGAGCCTCTTTCTCTCTCTCTTTTTTTTTTTTTTTAAGCCATGGAAGACACTGCCAATGCAAGTTTTTTGACTGAAGAAAACATATAAAAATAGACCATCAGGTATGAAAGTAAAACATAGTGAAATTCAGAAAATAAAATCTGTAATTCTTTTACAAACCTTATTTTAGAACATTCATAAGCAAAAAATGTATCTTGAATGGAAGAAGTATGATATTTTATTTATTTACTTTTGGGGGTATTGAAATCTGTATAAGTATAGATAAAAATTATATTTCTTAAATTTTGCTTGGAGCTAAGTATCAAGCTGCAGGTCTTCAACTGCATCCCCTCTTTTCATAATAAAAGCTTTTACTCCCAATCAAGAGGCAGTACAGAAATATATGCCAAGTCTCCTGATTGCTGACTGTTATCCCGCGAATCCAATTTATAACATATTTTTGTGGAGTTTTTATTACTCTTTAAAATTTCTCACGATTTTTATGTAGCTTGGCTTACTACTTCGCTATTTGCACACACACACACACACAAAAAAAAAGGGGGGTATCTGACAGCACTTGTTTTTTCTCTGGATTACATATAATAGAAAAAGTAATTTCATTAGTGAGAAATTATGCTGAGTTTCTGCTTTATGAGTGAGAGCATAAGTGTCTGAAAACGTCGTGTTCCAGTTCTCCAATGAGAATCAAGCGGCTTTGTGTGTCATCTGGCATATATTAGCCAATGATCACAAAGCAAGATTGAGGTTACTATGGCATTATCTTGTTGCTAAGTGGTGTGAGCGCACCTGCTTTCAAGAAAATAGTTAAAGAAATTACGTTCTTTTAGTTATGTCTGCGAAAAAAGGTCAAGTACTTATGCACTTTTCAAAAATCATACACAGATGACTTTCTTTCTATTATTTCAAGAAAGTGTTACATATTTGCGACATGTACCCTTTGTCATTGCGATTTTTCTATTTTGTGCTATGGAAGGGCCAATGTTCTCAAACATGAAAACCCAATGACAACAGGAATTTCATTGGTTGGGGGAAATGAAAAATTTAATTTTTGGTGAAAACAAGGGACC